AGAGAGAGAGAGGAGGTGAGAGAGACAGTGGGTGGGTTGTGGGGAGAGAGACAGAGACAGAAGGAAGAGATAGACAGATAGACAAAGGGTAACTGAGTCTAAGGGTAACAGAGAGACTCAGAGAGACACAGATGGGGGTGGGGTTAGAGAGAGAGCACATGGGAGAGAGCGCGTCGGACATGGAAGAGGGAGAGAGGGGGAGAGAGCATGGGAGATAGGCAGCGCGTGGGAGAGAGAGATAGATGGGGGAAAAGAGAGAGAGAAGAGGAAAGACAGAGAGATATAGAGACAGGGAGGGATAAAAGAGAGACAGGAGGTGAGAGAGACGGTGAGTGGGTTGTGGATAGAGAGAGAGAGCGAGAGAGAGAGCGAGAGAGAGAGAGAGGGGAGGTGGGGCACAGGGACAGGGAGTAAGAGACAGTCAGAGACAGAGAGAGGGAGAGACACGGGCACAGAAACAGAGACTCACTTCAGCTCCACTTTGAGCTGCTTCAGAACGTCAGAGTCCTTCTTCTTGCTGTCGTCGGTCTTGGATTTGTCCTTATCCTTGTCCCGATCGCGGTCCCTGTCCCGATCCCGGTCCCTCTCCCTCTCCCGCTCGCGATCCTTATCCCTGTCCCGGTCCCGCTCCCGGTCTCGATCACGCTCGCGCTCCCTCTCCCGTTCGGGCTCCCTGTCCCTTTCCCTCTCCTTGGTTTTGGGTTTGTCGGGGTCTCTCCTGACCGGGGGCGGGGGCTCCTCCTCCTTACTCTCGGCCTGTTCCTTTTCCTCCTTCTCCTTTTTGACGGTGACGGCAGGCGGGGCAGCAGAAGGGCACTCCTTGGCTTCTTTCTTCACCTCTGTCCCCTCCTCCTCCTTGATCTCCTCCACAGAGACAGCGGTGGTGGTAGAGGTCGAGCTGCCTGCGTTGGCAGTGGCGGTGTAGGTGGTGGACATGGCTGGGGAGCCAGAGGAGCTGCTGGGAGCTGGGCTCGGGTAGCACTGCACACGGGCCTGCCCAGACGGAAAGGACGGTCTCAGCGAGTGGGAGACTCCAAACCCCTTCCCCACCTCCACCGTTATCACCACCACAGGGTCAGCGCCGAGGGAACGGGCACTGTCGGAGGGTCAGCGCCGAGGGAACGGGCACTGTCGGAGGGTCAGCGCTGAGGGAGCGCCGCACTGTCGGAGGGTTGGCGCTGAGGGAGCGGGCACTGTCAGAGGGTCGGCGCGGAAGCAGCGGGCACTGTCGGAGGCTGGGTCAATGCACAGGATGATCCCAGTCCCACTCACCTTGTTGATCTCGGTCTGGGCCTCGCGCAGTTTCCGTTTGTATCGCTGTACGTCCCCCTTCAGTTGGTGGTTGTGGTTCTGGAGGCTGTTGATGAGGTGACGCATCTCCCGGTTGATTGGACCTACCAGAGATCAGACACAGTCAATCCCTCTGAGCTGCCCGCCTGCTCGCTCACACAGACCTGCGCGGGAGTGGGCCACTGATTGAGCTTAGGCTAAATCGGGCTCATCCCAGGCCTCAGGAAGCTCAGTCGGCCATTGGGCCCAACCTCCTCATACCAGCAACCTGCTGAGAGACCAAGCCCAGTGCCAGTCGCTGCCAGGAACAGGGGCACGCCTTTACACCTGCCCCACCTCACCCAGCACAGCGTTAGGTACAGAGTTAAGCTTCCTCTGCACTGTCCCCCCATCAAACACTCCCAGGGACAGCACGGGGTTAGATACAGACTAAAGCTCCCTCCACACTGTTCCCCCCCCCCATCAAACACTCCCAGGGACAGGGACAGCATGGGGTTAGATACAGGGTAAAGCTCCCTCTACGCCGCCCCGATCAGACACACCAGTAGAAGGGGCAGGGGGTGGACGTCACTAACCCTCGCTGCCGTACCTGCTTGCTCGTTGGCCGCCAGGTTCTGCTCGAATTCAATGCGCAGCATCTCGTACTCCTTCCGAACCTGAGCCAGCGTATCTTCCAGCTGAATCACCTCCGTCCGTAGCTTCTTCTGCAGGTTCAGCTCGTCGCTCTGAGGGGAAGCAGCCAAGGAAACGGATCGCAGTTAGCCACCCACACGCAACACAGACCCTCAGGTACTTGTGAGCACCAGACAACCCCGCAATGGCTCGGTCAGTAATTACTGCCTCCCCTCCCCCAGCCCCGGAGAAGAGGGTGGTGAGCTGCTATAGCACCCCGCCCCCCCCCCCCCCCGGGGGCATGCAGGGACACAGCGCTGTTAGGGACAGAAAAACACGGCAGGTCGGGAGGCATCTGTGGACAGGGAAAGCAGACGTAACGCTTCAGGCCCAGTGGCCCTTCCCGCAAAACTGATTCACTTTCCCGTCTCCTGCATTTCTCGGTTTTCCTGTTTAACTCACTGCCACATCTCTTCCTGGTTCTGCCGCCGCCACAACAGCCAACCACCGCCCCCCCCATCCCCCCCCACCCTGCCTCTCCGACAGGATTTCCCGTTCCAATCCGTCTTCTTATCCACCATCATGACGTCCGCCCCTGGTTTCCGACAAGGTACTGGCCCAAGATTCACTTGCAGAGCTCATCACTTTTCCCCAGTGACTGCCTCAGCTCGGAAACAGACCCTTCGGCCCAACCCGTCCGTGCCAACCCAGATATCCTAACTTAATCCAGTCCCGTTTGCCAGCACTGGGCCCATAAACCCTTCCTATGCACGTCCCCATCCGGATGCGTTTTCAATGCTGGAACTGTACCAGCCCCCACCCACTTCCTCTGGCAGCTCGTTCCATACACACACCACCCTCTGTGTGAAAAAGTTGCCCCTCAGGTCCCTTTCCCCCCTCTCACCTTAAACCTATGCCCCAGGGAAAAGCTATTCCCCCCTATCCGTGCCCCTCATGATTTTATAAACCTCTATAAGGTCACCTCCCTCAGCCTCCAACGCTCCAGGGAAAGCAGCCCCCAGCCTCTCCCTGTAGCTCAAACCTTCCAATATCCTTTTCCAAACCCCTTTCAAAGTTTCACAACATCCTTTCTACGGCAGGGAAGACCGCGTGGATTCCGAATCCAGCTTCCTCCCGGATCACAGCCTTTGGGAAAAGGGTCACACCGCGCTCGAAAGCATTAATTCTGCGCTCTCTCTCTCTCTCTCCCCACAAGCCGTTGCCAGACCTGCAGAGTTTCTCCAGCCAGTTCTGCTTCCGTTTCTGTTCGTCGGGTTTTGCCTTCAGGGGAGGCTGTAGGAACAGTCGACATCGTTCGGTTCGGGGTGGGTGGGGGGGGGAGGCAGAGCTTGCCAGGGGCTCGGAGGGGGACACGTCGGGGGTGGGTGTGAGTAACTCTGCCATCGAGCTGCGACCCACGTCCTCCAAGGACAGGAGCCGACAAGCAGACGGTCTAGGGACGCGGCTTCCAATTCAACAAGCGGCAGAACGAGGTGGCGACCGCGCTGCGCAAACGCCAGAGCGTCTGTGAAAGTCTGCCTGCTGTGCTTGACCGGCTCTGCTCTGTGCGCTCCACCCAGGTGGCATGCTCGAATCTCAGCTGGCAACCTCCACTCCCACTGAGGGGGGCCGGCTCCTGTCTATCTCTCCCACTAACTTACCGCCTCCCCCCGCTATGTCCCTTCACACCGCTCCGTGTTAATCGTGCTTCGATTTCACGACGGGTTCCCTGTAAAATTTAGGAGGAGCCTCGGCGAGGCGCTGAGGTGGGAGGGGACTGTGGCAGGTGAAGGTG